TACATATGTCTTATAGTCGACGCGCGAAAGATTCATCAAGCAATTAAGCATTAAAATGCTAAACTCTAAAAGTAACGTACGTTGTACGTTCTAACGAGAGATTTACGTAATATTTAACTCGTACTGTTCTCACATACGAATGCTTGTAATATGAAAATCTAATATACATGTTCATATTTTTTTTGTATACATATATATTAACTCGCAATCGTTTTCTAACAATAGGCACTATAGGTCGACGAGAGGTCGTGACGTGTAATGGCAACGTTTATTTGTGAAAGGAAAATTGAAAAAGTTAATGTGAAAATCTATTGTTATCTGAATCAATAAATTCTGGTGTGTGTTTTCTTTTTTTTTTTCTTACTTCGGGAGTTATTTAAATACTAAATAAGTAAATAGATAAATAAATAAATAAATAAATAAATAAAGATGATCCAATAAGGTTACAGTGAAAATTTAACTAATTACTACAAAATTCGTTGTTCCTTTCTCTACGCGAATGTTTTTTTTTTTTTTTTTATGGATTCTCTCCACTTTTTCTTTCCTCTTTTTTCTATCTCTCTCCCTTTCTGCCGTTAAATATCTTTCAATTTTTAGTTTCATCTTGCATAGATATTTAATGATGTAGTTTTTCATGATTTTAGCATGTAAATTTAGTACAACAAAAATTCTTTTTACATATATTAATTTTGTATTTATATGTATATATATATAATATATTCACTATATAATATACACATATATTACTCACATATAGTACTTATCATCAAAGATTTATGTATTATTCTAAATAATTAATAAATAATATTTCTAAATTATTAATAAATAATATCTCTAAATAATATTTCTGTATTATTCTAAATATCCTGTTAATGTACTAGCCTAGTTAACAGTGAAAAAGTAAGAATTATTTATATTGCTCTTGCAGATATAATTTTCATGTATTTTCCACTTAATTTTATCTTGAGAAGAATGTAATTCACTTTAAACTGATATAAATTCAGAATTGTCAAATTCGATTTCAAGGAGTTCAATAAAATTGAAGAAAAGAAAAAAAGCCAAATTCTATCGTTCTATTGATATCATTAAATAAATACATAAAGATTTTATATTTCATTCTTATTTTTAACTTGTCAATTGGTGAATTCAGAATTTCTCTTCAAAGATATAAGTGTACATTCTCAGAGTTATATGAATTTTTGTTGTTTATGATTTTAAAAACGAACAGACAAAACAAAAAGATCTACAATGTTGTTTCAACACACTGTATGTAGCCATTGGTGTAGCTGTTCATTTGTTTTTTCAACTATGTAGAAGATTGATAAAAGAGTAATACATATATATTATACCAAGGTAAAAACATCACTATTAATTAATTAAAATTAAAATTTTTTTTTGAACAATAACTACTGTGCGAATGTGTATAACTATTTGTACAACATAACACATAATTAATTGCATTAATTCTATTTTAAATAATAATTTTAATGAAGTGTTAGAGGAGCGAGAGAGGGAGAGAGAGGAAGTGCCATCCTTTCTGGGCATTGTTCACTTCATATTAACAGATCCTCGATGAACTTACCATTCTGATTGATCATTCATGATCGATCTCAGGTTTTCCGTATACAATTATTACGTTACAGAGCAAGTTACAAAATTGTACTGTATATTGCAATTGGTACTTCAAACTGGTCAAAATACACTAAATTTAAATTAATCGCAACATTCTATTTGTGCTTGATCCGTTTGACTCTAATACAAAAAGAAAATATCGCTACGTTTTTCTTCAATATTCTTGAAGAGATAATATTGGTCACAGAGTGAAATGTACAAACGGAAAGCTAAATATCGATCATTAGCGTAATGAATGTATGTATGCGTGATTCATTATTTGAATGCTTGGAGCATGTCCAGAAGAGAATGTCTTTCGTTCTTCAACAAATATGGAACGAAAGAAAACAATATCATTAATCATATATATAAATATATCGTAATAAATGGATAAGCATGTAACCTTATTACTTATTATAGGAATACCGGAATTTTGTCGATAATTTTAAATAAGACGAACGTCACGTACGTTTATGTTCTATGAATATTGTTTATGATATCTGGTATCATATAAAATTAGTAGCGGTACTAGGTGATCTACATTCCCTTAAAACGTGTAAAGAAAAAAAAAAGGAAAAGGACAACTACTTGGCTAATGATACGATCGTTTTAAAAATTTCCGCAAAGGTTTCCCTCCTTCCATCTTCTCTTTCCCTCTCTTTTTTGTCCTTTTTTCTTTTTCTTTTTTCGTTTCTTCCTTCAAAGTAATTACAAATCAAAATTCTATGCTATTTAAGGCAGTATTATTCTTTTGTTCACATAATTGTTATTCATTTCTCTTTGTAACAAGTAGATCGTGTTTAATGATTCAATTTCAGAAGAAGGGATCGGAATTTAAATATATTTCACTAAATTGGTCCAATCACCCTTAATTATGATTAGAAGAATGCGAGTTTCGAGTAATATCAAGTCAATTGAACTACCTGAACTATATTTTCCATCTATCAATGTGTCTATTGCGTAAGAAAAAAGATTTAAGCTCGTTGCGAGTAAATTGATTACTAAAAATAGGCTATTGTTATTCATTAGGATTGAAAAGTATCGTAAGAATATTATTGTTTTTTTTTCTTTTTCTCTCCATTTTTTCATTTTTTTTCTTTTTCTTTTTTTTTTTTTTTT